GCTGATAAATAAGAAGAAACCATTTTTTGTGGTACATATTCATACGCAGCGTTACAACGCTACGTGTATTTCAGCCTAACAGACACCCAAAGAATGTAGTCACATCATTACACAACAAGGTGAAGGCCAGCGGGTCAGTTTTGTGAAATGCTAAATATCGATCTGCAAGCGAATTCTCTCTCAATTCAACGAATGACGAATGACGTGCGTTGTATAATCATTATTATATCCGTACACTCACTTCTATTTGCGCTGTTGCGTATATTCTTTAGAAACAAATGGCTATTGACTGCGTTTTTAATCAAGGTTTGTAATATTGACTTCAATATTATTATTTATTTTCATTTTTAGGCGACTTTAAAAAAGAAGAAGTTTTACAATGTATGTTACGCGATATCTTTGTCAATTTTGAACCGATTTTCGATTTTGATGATTCTTTTGTTATTAAATGTATATAAGTATAATATTTCAAAGATGTTCTCATGCAAATTTGAGAAAAAATATTTTTTTAGGGAAGAAAAATAGGTTATAAAATTTTGAATGTTAAACTTTTTAGTTTTTAGTTAAACTATTTAGACTAGGTACTTTAAAATTCTGATATCTAGTCCATTCAATAGGATAAAAAAATAACTTTTATAAAACTACAAACCGACTTCAAAGAACTAAAAATAATGCCTAATATAAATTCGCATTATGTGTCGGGCATTTAATTATTCATAAGATGTCTTAGCAAAAAATTAATTTAGAATTTAAAAATTGTTTTGATTTTTTTTTTGTTTTGAATTTGGCAATCACTTATTATTAAAAGTTTTTTAGCTTCGGAGGATGATGCAGATTTTGATGGTAAACTGCACCGTCTTAGTGTAAGTTAAGTTTGATGGAAAGTCCGACGCTGAATACTATACAGTCACAGTCCTTTACGTGGTAGAGCCACGCTGCAGCTATATTATAGTTGTAGCACGAATGGGTCGGCTTCGACCGGGGCAGGACCACGCTCTCACAGAATACCAGCGTGAAATAGCAGCTTAATACTGCTCTTTTTCTTATGGTGAGTGTGGAGATTTGGGGACCCTTTTTTACTGGAAATGAGGCATTCCATCTTAGTTCTCAGGGGCCACAACGCATTTGCATTTTGATTCTTAATTGAGGATAACTGTGGATATCTATGGGCCACAGCATCCACTTATGAGCTATACCATCAGGTGGATTGTGTGCTCGTTTTTCACCCAATGCTATAAAAAAAAAGATCCAAAGCTCAGTGCCAAACATAGGCCTTCTTAATAGATTGCCTCTTAAGGCGGATATATTCCAGTATTGCCAGAGTGAACGGGCTGGCAAGTGCATTTTTTTATTTGTTTTTGTTTTTATCGCGTTATTGTGAGGACGCTGTCATGTTTCTCCTGATCTGTTTCATTGTCCTGAGTTTTTCTCATTCGACACTCACGAGATCATATGGGGTAGTGGATATTTACACCGCCACTGCACTTAATCATATGGGGTAGTGGATATTTACACCGCCACTGCACTTAATCATATGGGGTAGTGGATATTTACACCGCCACTGCACTTAATCATATGTGGTAGTGGATATACTTACACCACCACTACACGTAAATTTTTTAACTGAACATAAAAATCACTTAAATTTGAATCCATTTAATAAATTATACTGCTCTAATTAATTTAATATGTCTAGAAATTGTAGAGGCCGTTAAAAATGTCAATGTCAATAAAGAAGCACAACTAAGACTGGTGCCTATCACATTCTGACGGCAATAATGTTTTATATGTCAGTGGGAACAAAATAGCTTAGAAGACTATTTTAGCTTATTTAAAACAAAAACTTACATTAATATGTATGGTTAATGTTTATTTTCATAGTGTAAGTAGATGCTGTGACTCATAGACGTCTACATTTATCCTCAATTAAGAATCAAAATGCAGATGCGTTGTCACCCATTAGATCTAAGAAGGAATGCCTCGTTTTTAGTAAAAAAAGGTCTGCGTTTTTTTTTAATTTATTTCATTCATTACATTTATTAATTACACATTACTTTACGGTACAATCACAAGTTTATAGAAACTTTACCGTGTCCCGGTATCGTATTTTTATATAGAATAACGGTGACAAACGACCACACATTTCGCCAAATGGTAAGTGATGCAGCATTGTCCTACGACGTATAACATAAGAATGTAAGAATGATAGTAATAGCTAACCTTGTGGTGGTTACTGCAGTCCAAAAACACCCTTGCAATAAACTCAAAATAACGATTGTTGCAGATGCGTTCTTTCCTTTCAAGGCCAACCTGGAATACAAACGAGGAAACTTTCTCCACTTTCATTACTAGTAGGATAAATTAATTGGTTTTTGTAAATATGAATTTTAATGCATGTGTTTTGGAAAATATAAGCAATCATATTATAGACTTTAATATTAATTATGACATTGTTAGTTATGCCAATAAATCTTCTTGTTATTACTATAAAGTGTAAGTACCTAAGCATTACCAGAGCTGAAACCAATTTTTGTTTTAATAATAATATTATGAATATACCAAACCAACCTAAGAGAGTTAGACCAGGAGTGTAAGGAGTCAAACCAGGGATAAGCAACATCTTTCTGATAACCATGAGGTAATCTACGAGGGAGTTCTAAAAATACTTAACAGAAGGAGAAAAACAAAAAAGGAACGATATACTCTACCGGTTGCGTGCATAATTACTTAGCATTTAATATTGTTTTGTCGTATTTTAAGCGCAAAATTTTGTAAAAAAAACACAACCCTACTACGAATTTCGTAATATAATATCATCATCTCATCGAGTTTGAAGTTCTCTTGTCGTTCTCTTGACTTCTTCTTGTCCTTAAATGCTATTTCTAAGAGAGCTAGACCAGTCCACCACGTGACTCCAGTGCTTGTTGTCGGACTTTACATCTCCTTAACATATAATCATTAATCTTTTTTTAAACGTTACCCCCATTTTGTCCTGTATCGTGAAGGCAGTTTACTTATGTAAACTTTACATGGACAAACATCCAATCCTTGGAAATACTTGTTCCGTGCGGGATTGAAACCCGTGGTACTCAGCGTCGCAACACCATGCTATACCAATGCGCCATAGAATCGTCAATATTTTGTAGAAAATATTTGTTCCACAAAAATGAAGGTTTCCTCACAATGTCTTCCTTCACTGCCGAGCACACGATAAATCAGCATTTAAAAGCAATTATCGTTTACATTGGTGCGGAGGTTCGAAACCAGGTCGCTCACGTACTTTGAAATTTATGGCGATTTTATCTAATCTACCAAGGCTCGGTCGGCTTACATACTAGAAACTTATTTTTGTATGGAAGGAAATCCCTAACTATTTAAATCTTTGTATCATTGTTTTTAATAAATCGGCCATTAGGAAAACAAGACACGACACAATTCGGTAACGAGATGCGACGAAGATGAATGTATACATGTGATTCGTTCGAGGAATCCATAACAATGGAATTAGTAACCGAAACTAACAGATTACACACAAATTTTATAACAACGAAGTTCTTTTTTTTTTCGTTCATTTAACGGAAGCGCCATATCAAAGATGATTTAAATAAGGTTAATGTCTCTATCTAACATAATTTTACAGTGCTAATCAAAGGCTTTGCCCAAAGGTTTCTATCCATCTGTTTGGATATCATTTATTCGAAAATATATCTTTGTTAAATTTTAATTAGCAGAAATAAATATATGTTATGACAGAAAAAAAATGTTATACATAATTTAATTTAATTTTGTGTTCAAACTGTAATGACCTAGTGAATCGTTTCTAGAGGTTTATTTTTCAAATCCAATATTCAAACTATGTAAGACATATCATTTTATTTTATTTCGCGCGTCTTAGCTAAATAATTTTTCACATCTTTATATTGGGTTACCGCAAAGTAACGCCTGATTATATTATTAAATCCAATATTCCCATTTATTTGTAATGGATCTCTTCAAATAAAAATAATATTCGTATATTTTGCTACAGTTTTTTGTAGATTATCAAAATGTTATTTTAATTATAAAATAAACTATAATAAACTGTTAGAGTTTATTAAAACTCTAATAGTTTATTATAGAATTAAGAAAATAACACTAATCTTCAAATTTTTTTCAAATGTGAACAACATTTAATATTAATGTCGCTATTAACACCATGTGAATACTAAATGTTTTTAAAAGTATCGATGAAGCAATTTGTGATGCAATAGAACACAGTTTTTATCGAAAAGAATGAAGGTGAATGAGAAGATTTAGGATTTCAAGGTATGATCACTTTGAAGTTGTAATTAGATGATCATTGAAAAATAAATTTAGAGGCTAATGTGACGGGTAAATAAATTTAGAGGCTAATGAGTTTTTGAATTATACTCGTATGGCCTTTTGCACCTGTTAGCATTCAACTTTGACTGATTCGGTAAACATATTATAAATTTAATGCTCAGAATATAAATACTTGCAAATTACTGTTGAAATCGACCTGTATATGCAAGATATTCTTCTGACATAAACATTTATTTGTTAACCATCGTATCAAAAACATCATTTTAACTGCGATGTTACGACGGTTGTTACAGCGGAACTTCGACTAAAATAGCTCCACCACGTTTCAATTATTTCATTGCTATATGACTTAATTTAAAGAAAAAAAACACCATTTAACAAGCTTTAGAATAACTCCACGACTAATCGTCTCAGTTAGGAAATCTATTTTGTATGTTAATTTATCATCAGATTTTAGCATTTAAAATAAAATTCAAAGTGGCACAATCGGATTGCAACTAGATAGATATGTAGTTAAAATAAAATACGAAGGTTAAATTACTAAAACACAATATTTATTAACAATATTCATTTGGGATATCACAGAATCGCTTGGACGATTTCTATAACGAAAGGACGGGTAAAGGTTTGGAAAGTTGAGTATTTTTGGACTAGATAACGCGTAAACTTATGTCGATTTATTGGGCCTTGGGTATGTGGGCGCCGTCAGCCTGGAATCCATTCTCGTTGGCGATGTAGGTGACAGTGTAGACAACGTTGTCATCGCCACGGTAAGAGTACTGTCCCCGGACCTCCATCGCTTCGTTCTCAGTGCCAGCGTTCTTCAACTCTCCTTGCTCATTCTGGGCGATCCCGTTAGAGGTTTCGAAGCTGTAATGAAATTTATTTTCTATAAATAAACAAACCCAACATTTATAAAAATATTATAATTTTATATAAATAAAAATATAATAATTTTATATAAACGTACTCTGAATTGAAGAGTTAAAACAAATTATATGTTGTAAAGTAGTGTCAGTTTAATCAGTAAAATGTAAAGACAGAAGATGAACTCACGCGAAGCCGTAGGGGCCAACACCGATGTTTTCATTGTCGAAACGGAGGATCTGAGCATCAGCGTCAGGGTTAACCGGGGCGGCGACGGCGGCGACCACGAACAGAGCGGCAACAATGAACTGCAGAGAAGAAACCTTATTATTTAGTCTTATCCAAGATGGTCACCAGAGCCTAGATAATTCAAAAAGAAATAATGAGATCGTAAATGTATCCACATTTGGCTGTTTGTGCTTCTTAAACAGTTCCAGACATTGAGTGGAGTATATGCCGACAAAACACAATTCACTAATGCAAATCACAAAAACGTACCAGTTTCATGTTGATGGGTTGAGGATCTTTTGGTTGTTTGTGAAGGAAGGCAATCGAGCGACTGATGCTCTGCCGTGGTGGCGGCCCGTATTTATATCATTTAGACACGATGTAAGGCGAGGACGAACTGTGACATTTGAACCTAGAAGTATCTTCGGCCACCGTATGCACTGACTCGAACTCACAAAGGTTCCTTGTGGCATGTCCGGTTACATATTTTATGACCAATAACATATTCTATGACAAAAAAGTGCTATGAATGTTTTTTTAATATCTTTTTAATTTTTTGTCATGATATACGACATTTTTTCTTATGACTTATTATTACGTAGTTGACAAAAAGATACATCGAAACATTTTTATGCGTATTCAAGGATAATTTTTAATCCAATTATCCAATTTCAACGCATTCCGTAAGCAAGATTAAACTTAGTGATTATATTATCTTTGGGCAAGATCGAGAATCTGCCAAAAAATGAAAATCTGAAATGACACAGGCGTTGCTGTTATTATTTACATTTTATTCGTTGGACGGCGCGCAGTTTTCAAATTAAAGTGTTTTTAAAAATGGTCAATTTTGTTAATTTTAAAAAATGTAATCCATAATAATAAATTATTAGCAGCAAAAATTATTATTATTCTAAGTAGAAATAAGACATTTTTCAAAATGGATTTGTCAAAATCTATTGTATTAATTTTGTGCTCATAGTAAGCTGAGTGGCAGTGGGCCGGCCATATATCTCTAAGAACCGATAACCGACAGGAGAGAAAGTTCTTGAGTAACGTAGGGTGACCCCCATTAGATGGAGGGACGACCTAGTAAGACATGTAGGAAGTCGATGGATGCAGGTGGCTCAGGACCGTGCTTTGTGGCCTTACTTGGGGGAGGCCTATGTTCAGCAGTGGACTTGTGAAGCGCTTTAATGAATGAATGAAATGAATATCATATATTATTGGTAATATAATTTCAAATAAATAAAAATAAAACGTTGTAGTAGAACAAAATATTAATATTAAGAGTAAAATAATTTCCACGGCTCTGCCGAGATATTACACAATACGTATGTTAAATTTGTTTTATTCTTTTTAGTATCCGAAGTCAGTTTTAACAGTTATAAAAAGTTAGTTTACAGCACAAGCTCAAGGTAACAACTACAATGTCGTCTAAATTGTTACACCATCAGACAACCTTCATCCCCTATTTTTCTACCTCCTACACTTCCGGTGGAAATTTTCTTCAAATTTAAATCGTATCACCCTCTGAAGTATAAAATACCTATTAATTTAAAAAATCATTTCTATCGATTCAGCCGTTTCCGAGAAATCGTTAAGAAACTATAACGTTTGTAGAATTGGATAAAAATACACGATGAAAGTTTTATTTTACATTATTATTAGTTGTTAAAACATAAAATTAAGTATATTGATTATTTTTACGTGATTCAACAACGCTCAAGAACTCTGCAGAGTGTGAACATATATGAACATGTTGAGCATCACCTCCACCATTACGTCAGATTGACGATCGTTGGGCTGACGTGACGTCTCGAACCTTTGACGCCGCTCTGTATCTGTGTAAAATAAAAGTGACCAACGAGCACACAGATTATATGATGGTAAGTGGATGCTGTGGTCCATACACATCTACATCTATCCTCGATTAAAAATCAAAATGCAGATGCGTTGTCACTACTAAGGACTAATATGAAATGCCTCGTTTTCAGTAAAACGGGTCTCCGGTTTCTACACTCACCATACGAAACACAGCAGCATTAAGCTGCTATTTCAAGCTGTTATTCTGTGAGAGAATGGTTATTCCCCGATAGAGTCGACCCATTTGTGCTACAATTATAATATACAGCTGCAGCATGGCACTATCACGTAGAAAAGTGTCATCTTCTGGAATCCAAATTTTATGTAAATTTCACGAAAATAGTAAAAATTTTAAAGAAGCTTGGAGTTTCCTGACAAAAGTTATTATAATTAAGAGAAGACCCCATGCCCGGTTATAATATTTGAATACTATAATCACATCTGAATGTCATTAGAGATGATCAGCATCTTCTTGATAACAACTCAAAACAACAACAAAAAACTGCAGTTACCAATTCACTTACAAAGTGTTGCAATCAAATTCTCCTCCCGCTATGAGGGACACAATGGGGGAAGCGGTTGTAGATTTTTTTTAGAAGTTGTGGACTTTTAATAGCCTATAATGATTCAATACAACATACTTTGAAATAATTTAGAACTATATTGATTAAACTTCCTGATAAAACTATTGAACACGTGTTATCGCGTGCTGGGTTTCCATGTTGTTCCCTTAACTGATTTCTCCTTTTTTGTTGGTTTTTTACGCGAAACCTTCGCCTATTGTGAACAGTATTTAATGGTTCGTATTAACATTAGAGACGACTCTTTTGAAATATAAAAAGAAAATTCCATTCCTGCAATAATTTACAGAAAAGTTTTACACGATAATCTAAGTTTTACCTTGAGCTTATTGTAATATCCCTTAGTCCACTCAAAGGGGTAAAAACAGTTAAAAGTGAAAACAAAGTCAGAGCCTTAACATTTCGATACACTCTTTTAACGACTTGACATGCGTGACGTTTTAATTCTTTTAAGTTGGTTCTATTTTTACAAAAATTTATTTTCATTATTCGCAAATTAAGTGCTAAATGAAGCCTTGAGGTAAGTCCTCTTGATGTAGCATAACTGCATCCCGCATATAAAGCAAAAGTTTTAGGTATATGAAACTAAAGTTTTCGATACATTAAGTATCAATCAATTTATTCGAAGTCTCTGAATGAAAATATTTAACGGATGTTATCGAATTTAATTTTCTTATTTTTACTTCTAATTCAAAGATTTCCTCGTTAGTCTAGTGGCCGTTGCTGTCAGTGTGAGGTCCAGAGTTTAAATCCCGAATCGGGCCGAAAAAAACAGTTATTGAGTTTTCTTCTGCCAAGAAATTCTCAGTAGCTGCCCGGAGTCAGGAAGTTGGCAGTGTTTCATCCCGTGCCTAGGAAAATACGTAAAGCCGTTAGCCCTGCGCCTCATCTCTTTCCGGTAGTGTCAGTTTACCATCCCATGGGACTATGAGAGTGAAAGACTAGAGAGTATACTTGTGCTTGCGCATATACTTGTTAATTATTCTAACTAGCTTTTAACACACTTGGATACGGATTTTAAAAATGTTATTTATTCTTAAAATATGCTGAGCCATTGAAGCATTTCCACACAACACGGTTCCATGTCACCTTCATCCACTGACTTCCTGCATTCTGGTCGTCACTCCTAGTTAATTATCATGATTTAACATATATTAATACTCTTTAGTATTTAGATTTTGATGACGATACACGTTAACCATATCTCTAAAAGCGACATTACTAATGGTTAAGGATACGATCTGTGAAATTAAAAGTTGTGAGTTCGAATCTGCCTTTCGTCCACTGTCGTGTTCTACTCCTAGCAGAAGCATTTGAAATTTAATTGAAGTAGTTAACGAGAATTTTATACGTGTAAATAAAATATACTTTATAAATCATTGCGTACTCTTTTTAATTTTTTTTTAATTTAGGGACTCAGGTTATTTTTATTATGTCAGTCCCATTGTACCTTATAACTAAATAACACACTACAATTTCTTAAATTATTTACACAAAATATTAACTAAGTTATATACAATTTGAGCAGCATTAGATAATGGTTCAGACAGAATGCTTTGATATTCCCCTAGGTTTCAAATTTTAATATCAGTTTTGACAACTAATAGTTTCCTTTCATGATGATTTTTGGAACATTCCGCGACCAAGTGTTGTACATCTTCTATTGTTTTGCATGTATCACAATTTGGAGATTGTTTCTTTTTCATCTTGAAAGCAAACTTGTTACACGGAAGGTGTCCGGAACGAAGTCGCATTGCTAATACAATATATTCTCTATTAAACGGACATTGATTAAACCAAGGCACTTTCGGAGGCTGACTCTGGATGATTTTGTACCAAATCCCTTTTTCTTGCGATCTTTTATCAAAATATTCTTTCCAAATTGTATAACATTTCTCTTTATTGCGTACTCTTTAAATACCATAATTTCACAATTAGTAAAAGTAGTTAATCTTTTACTTAAAGAAACGATTGAAGCTGTTTTTAAAGGGATTTTAGTTTATACGACATTAGAACATTTTTTTAAACAATAAGCGTGACAAACAAGCACTTAGTTCACCTGATGGTTAGTAGATGATGCGACCCATAGACGTCTATATCTATCTTGATTAAGAATCAAAATGCAGATGCGTTGTCGACCTTGAGGAACTAAGATGGAATGTCTCATTACCATTTAAAAAGGGTCTCCGATTCTCTACACTCGCTATACGAAACAGCAGCATTAAGTTGCTATTTATCGCTGGTATTCTGTCCTTTCGCTTGGATTCCTACCCCAGTCGAGCAGCATGGCTTCACATGATCTCTCCGGTCGTGTCGGGTTGCTATCCCATAGGACTCTGAGTGTGACGGAATAAAGAGTGCAGTTGGCTAGCCTCCGTTAAGACCCCTTTTTGATTCTAATTCTTTAATCAAGGGTAGATATAGAACTTAAAATTAGGTAGATAATTTACACTTTATACTGTTTCCCTGACTGTATTAAGCTGTCTGTTACGACACCAACGGGACATAATCCGTCATCCTTTCTTAAATGATCGGCATTTCAAATACTAAATTTAACGTGTCTTCAATCTGTATTAAATCATAAAATTGCCCCACCCAAACATAAAAAACAGCGAATGCATCAATTCTGCATTTCATTTTGATCCCTGTTTCTTAACATTTCAATTCGTTTTTGTTTGCGTGGCATTTTATTTTTCGCATTTTTTATTAGTCGCAATAAATTATTATCGTCTTTATTAAACACCGTTTTAGATTTCCAAACAAGTTCAATAACAGTGAATTAATTTGCATTTCATAAATAAATTCTTAACATATGAACGTGTCATATTTAATTCA